TTTTTTTTTTATAGAAAATTTATTAAAAATGGTTTAATTATAATAAATAATAATTTAATAATAATTATTTAATTAAATATTAATTTATTTATTTATATTTATATATATATATATATAAATTTTAATATATATATATATATATAAATAAAATAAATTAATTAATTAATATTAAAAATTATATTAATAAATTAATTATTTAAATGAATATATATTGATGAATATTGAAATTAATTTTTAATTTTAATATTAAATAAGAAAAAAAAAGAAATTATTTAAAATTTATAATATAAAATTAAATATTTAATTATAAAAAAAAAAAAAAAAAAAATCTATATAATATTAAATTATATAAAAAAAAATTTTTATAGTTTAAAAATTTATTATAAATTTATTTTACATACAAATTTTTGTATAAAATTTTAATTATTTAAATAATAATTAAATTAAATAAAGTAGTAATTAATATTAAAAATTTAAGAAATTAAGATTTAGTAATATGAAAATTAAAAACAAAATTCGTGCCAGCAGTTGCGGTTAAACAAATTTTAAAATAAATTTTTTTAGTTAATAATAAATATTTTAATTTTTGAATTAAATATTAAATTATTAGGTGAAATTTTAATTTAATTAAAATTTATAAAAAATTATGAATTAATAAATTTTATTATAAACTAGGATTAGATACCCTATTATTAAAAAATTAATTTTAAAAACTAAAATAGTAGGTAATTTTTTATTGAAACTTAAATAATTTGGCGGTATTTTAGTTCATTTAGAGGAATCTGTTTAATAATTGATATTCCACGAATAAATTTACTTAATTTGAAATTTTGTATATCGTTGTTATAAAAATATTTTAAAAGAAAAATAATATTTTAAAATTTAAAATAAAATTTAAATCAGATCAAGATGCAGATTATAATTAAGAATATAATGGATTACAATAAATTTATTTAAATGAATATTTAATTGTAAAATTAAATTGAAGGTGGATTTAAATGTAATTTTATTTAATTTATTAAAATGATTAAAAATTAAAATATGTACATATTGCCCGTCGCTTTCATTAATAAATTGGAATAAGTCGTAACAAAGTAGAGGTACTGGAAAGTGTTTCTAGAAAGACAGATTAGAGCTTGAAGAAGTATTTCATTTACATTGAAATGATATTAAATTTATTTAATTAATTTGAAGGGGAGAAATTAATAAATTTATGAAATAATAAAAGAATTTTTAAATAAATAATATTTTAATGGGGGTTAAAGTATTATATAAAGAAAAAATTGAAAATTTTAAAGTGAATTAGTATTGTGAAAGAATTATGAAATAATTGAAAATTAATTTTTATGAAAGTAAATTTAATTTATTGTATCTTGTGTATCAGAGTTTATTAAAAAAAATTTATATAAATTAAATTTCTCGAATTTAAAAGAGTTAATTAATTATAAAAGTTATTGTAGCAAAAATATTTTTAATAATTAATTTGAAATGAAATGTTATTCGTTTTTAAAGATATCTAGTTTTTTTAGAAAAAAATTTAATTTTATATTTAAAAAAAAAAATAATAAATTAATTAATTAATTTATTATAGTTTAAATAAAATATTTTAAGGGATAAGCTTTAATTTAAAATTTTATAATAAAATTAATATTTATTTAAGATTTTTAAAATTTATATTGTTTAAAAATTATATTTTTTTATAAATAATCTTATATTAAAATAAAATTTAATATTAAAATTTAATTTTTTATAAAAATAATTATAAAAATTAAATATATAATGAAATAATGATAAAATTAGTATATTAAATTAAATAAAAATTATAAATTTTAATATAAATAAAAGGAATTCGGCAAAAATATATGTCCACTTGTTTAACAAAAACATGTCTTTTTGATAATAATTTAAAGTCTAATCTGCCCACTGATTTTAAAATTAAAGGGCTGCAGTATATTGACTGTACAAAGGTAGCATAATCATTAGTCTCTTAATTGGTGACTGGAATGAAAGATTGGATGAGATATAATCTGTCTCTTATTTAATAAGTAAAATTTAATTTTTTAGTGAAAAAGCTGAAATAATATTAAAAGACGAGAAGACCCTATAGAGTTTTATAAATTAATAATTTTAAATTATATATAATTTTTTTTAATGTTAAATTTAATTAATTTATTTTGTTGGGGTGATAGAAAAATAAATAAAACTTTTTTTTTATAATAAACATGAATAAGTGAATTTATGATCCTAATTTTTAGATTATAAGAAAAAATTACCTTAGGGATAACAGCGTAATTTTTTTTTTAAGTTCAAATAAAAAAAAAGTTTGCGACCTCGATGTTGGATTAAGATAAAAATTAAATGCAAAAGTTTAAATTTTTTGATCTGTTCGATCATTAAAATCTTACGTGATCTGAGTTCAGACCGGTGTAAGCCAGGTTGGTTTCTATCTTTAGTAAAATAAGATATTTTAGTACGAAAGGAATAAATATTTAAATTAAATTTATTATTTAGAATTTTATTAATTTTTAAATTAAATATTTAAATTAAAAATTATATTTTAACTATTTTGGCAGAAAAATGTGATGATTTTAGAATTCATTGATATATAATTTATTATATAGATAGTAAATGTTATTGAAAGATTTATTAATAATTATTTTAGGAGTAATTATTTTAATTATTGGAGTTTTAGTAGGAGTAGCTTTTTTAACTTTATTAGAACGAAAATTATTAGGATATATTCAGATTCGGAAAGGTCCTAATAAAGTTGGATTAATTGGGATTTTGCAGCCTTTTTCAGATGCTATTAAATTATTTACTAAGGAGCAAATTTATCCTAATTATTCTAATTATTTATCTTATTATTTTTCTCCAGTTATTAGATTTTTATTATCATTAATAATTTGATTAGTAATTCCTTATTATTTTAATTTAATTAGATTTAATATGGGAATTTTATTTTTTTTATGTTGTACTAGATTAGGGGTATATACAGTTATAATTGCAGGTTGATCTTCTAATTCAAGATATTCTTTATTAGGGGGATTACGAGCTGTAGCACAAACTATTTCTTATGAGGTAAGATTAGCTTTAATTTTATTATCTAGAATTATTATAGTTATAGATTTTAATATATTAATATTTAATAAATATCAAAATTTAATTTGATTTATTTTTATTATATATCCGTTAAGATTATGTTGAATTTCATCAAGATTAGCTGAGACTAATCGAACTCCTTTTGATTTTGCTGAAGGGGAAAGAGAGTTAGTTTCAGGGTTTAATATTGAATATAGAAGAGGGGGATTTGCTTTAATTTTTTTAGCTGAATATTCTAGAATTTTATTTATAAGTATATTAATTGTATTAATTTATTTAGGGGGATATAGAATAAGATTATTTTTTTATTTAAAATTAAGATTAGTATCATTTTTATTTATTTGAGTTCGAGGAACATTACCACGATATCGATATGATAAGTTAATATATTTGGCTTGAAAGGTTTATTTACCTATTTCTTTAAATTTTTTATTATTATATATAGGAATTAAAATTTTTTTATAATATAATTTTTATAGTATAAATTAATAGAATAAATATTCTTTCTTAAGTTTTCAAAACAAATGCTTATGTACAAGCTCATTAATTAATTAAAAATTAAATTATCTCAATATTTATTTAAGATAGGAGTAATAATATAATATGAGAAGTAAAGAATAGTTAATAATTGTCCTGTAATAATATAAGGATTTTCTACAGGACGAGCTCCAATTCAAGTTAGAAGAATAATAATTGTAGTTAAGGATCAAAAAAGAATTTGATTTAAAGGGTAAAATTGAATTCCTTGAATTTTTTTATTAAAAGTAAAAGGAAGAATAATTAAAATAAGAATAGAAAAAATTAAAGCAATTACACCTCCTAATTTATTAGGAATAGATCGAAGAATTGCATAGGCAAATAAAAAATATCATTCTGGTTGAATGTGAACTGGTGTTACTAATGGATTTGCGGGGATAAAATTATCAGGATCTCCTAATAAATAAGGATTAGTTAAAGTTAAAATAATTAATAAAAATAATATAATAAAAAAACCAATAAGATCCTTAAATGAGAAGAATGGATGAAAAGGAATTTTATCTAGGTTTCTATTAATTCCTAGAGGATTATTAGATCCTGTTATATGAAGAAATAATAAATGAATTATTACTATTATTAGAATAATAAAAGGTAATAGGAAATGAAATGTGTAAAATCGGGTTAAAGTAGCATTATCAACTGCAAATCCCCCTCAAATTCAAGTAACTAATATATTTCCTAAATAAGGAATTGCAGAAAGAAGATTAGTAATAACTGTTGCCCCTCAAAATGATATTTGACCTCATGGTAAAACATATCCTATAAAGGCAGTTGCTATAAGTAAAAAGAGAATTAAAACTCCAATTATTCAAGTATATTTTAAATTAAAAGATTCATAATATATTCCTCGACCAATATGAATATAAATACAAATAAAGAAAAAAGATGCTCCATTAGCATGTAAAGTACGAATTAATCAACCATAATTTACATTTCGACAAATATAATTTACTCTGTAAAAAGCTAATTCAATATTTGCTGTATAGTATATAGTTAAAAATAGTCCAGTAATAATTTGAATAATGAGACATAAACCTAATAAAGAACCAAAATTTCATCAAGCTGAGATGTTAGAAGGTGTCGGTAAATCAATAAGAGTATTATTAATAATTTTTAAAATTGGATGAGTTTTTCGAATAGGTAAAAATTTATTTATCATTAGTTAAGAAGATCGAAGAGGTCCAAAAAAAATATTAGTAATTTTAACAACTGCAATAAGAGTAATAAATAAATAAATTACTAATATTATTATTATTATGAATGTTTGATTGTTATAAAGTTTAGATAAATTAATTTTATTTTCATTATTAAAAAAAAATATTGTAGTTTGTATAAAATTATTTATTTCTTCAAGATTAATAGAAAAATTAAGTCAATTTAAATTATAAAAAAAAATATAAGAAAAAATAAAATTAATTATTAAAAAGGTAATTGTACTTATTTTATTTAGTGAGGAGATTTTAAATATTTCATTAGAAGCAATACTTGAAACATAAATAAAAAGAACTAGTAGACCTCCTATAAAAGTTAAAAATAAGATATAAGAAAATCAATAAGTTTTAATTAATATTCCAGAAAGGAGGCAGATTATTAAAGTTTGAAATAAAATGGAAATTCCTATGGATAGGGGATGATTTATAAAAAATATTAAAATAGATAATGATATAATTATTATAAAAAAAAATATTTTTAGAATATCAAAGAATAGTTTATGAAAAATAATAATTTTGGAGATTATAGATAAAGATATTTCTTTTTCTTTGAAGTTTTTAAAGAAAAATTCTTATTTTTGATTTACAAGACCAATGTTTTTTTTAAACTATAAAAACAAAAATGACAAATGATAATATTTAATATATTAATTGTTGTATTTATTATATTTTTAATTGGAAATATAATTTTTGTTTCTAAACATAAACATTTATTAATTGTTTTATTAAGATTAGAATTTATTGTTTTAAGAATTTTTTTTTTTTTATTAATTTATTTAAGATTAATTGAAATAAATATATTTATATTAATAGTATTTTTAGTTTTTTCAGTTTGTGAAGGTGCTTTAGGATTATCAATTTTAGTATCTATAATTCGAACTCATGGAAATGATTATTTTCAAAGATTTAATTTATTATAAATGATAAAATTTATATTTATAATTATTTTTATAATTCCTTTATGTTTTAAAAAAAATATATTTTGATTGGTTCAAAATTTAATGATATTAATAATATTTATATTTATAAATTTAAATATTAGAATTTATTATAATACTAATTTAAGATATATATTTTCTTGTGATATTATATCTTTTGGTTTAATTTTATTAAGAATTTGAATTTGTATATTAATATTAATAGCAAGAGAAAATTTATTAAAAATAGGATTTTATGTTAATTTTTTTTTACTTAATATATTATTTATGTTATTAATATTATATTTAACTTTTTCAATAATAAATTTATTTATATTTTATTTATTTTTTGAAGGAAGATTAATTCCTACTTTATTATTAATTGTAGGTTGAGGATATCAACCTGAACGAATTCAGGCTGGGATATATTTATTATTTTATACTTTATTTGCATCTTTACCGTTATTAATAGGAATTTTTTATATTTTTAATAAAAGAAATAATATTATATTTTATTTTTTAAAATTTATAAGTTTTGATTTTTATTTATTATATTTTTCAATAATTTTAGCTTTTTTAGTTAAGATACCAATGTATTTTGTTCATTTATGACTTCCTAAAGCTCATGTAGAAGCTCCTGTTTCGGGTTCAATAATTTTAGCTGGGATTATGTTAAAATTAGGGGGTTATGGTTTATTGCGAATTTTAATTTTACTTGAAAAACTTAGTTTAAAATTAAATTTTATTTGAATTATTATTAGATTAGTTGGTGGATTTTATATTAGATTAAAATGTTTTTGTCAAGTTGATATAAAATCTTTAATTGCTTATTCTTCTGTTTGTCATATAGGAGTGGTAATTGGAGGAATTATAACATTAAATTATTGAGGTTTTATAGGTTCTTATTTATTAATAATTGGGCATGGTTTATGTTCTTCGGGAATATTTTGTTTAGCTAATATTAATTTTGAACGTTTAAATAGACGAAGATTATATATTAATAAGGGAATAATAAATTTTATACCTTCAATAAGATTATGATGATTTTTATTAATATCTTCTAATATAGCTGCTCCACCATCATTAAATTTAATGGGAGAAATTAGTTTAATTAATAGTTTAATAAGATGATCATGATTATCAATAATTATATTAATATTAATTTCATTTTTTAGAGCTGGTTATAGATTATATTTATATTCTTATACTCAACATGGAAAATATTATAGAGGATTATATAGATTTTATACAGGAGTTTCTCGAGAATATTTATTATTAATATTACATTGATTACCTTTAAATTTAATAATTTTAAAGGTAGATTGAGTAATAATTTGATTTTACTTAAATAATTTAAAATAAAATATTGATTTGTGGTATCAAAAATATAAGATTACTTATTTTAAGTTATAAAAAAATTTTCAATTTGTTTTATTAGATTTTTTTTTTTATTTTTTATAAGAATAGTAAATTTTATAATAATAATTTATTTTATTATAAATAATATAGTAATTTTTTTAGAGTGAGAAGTTATTACTTTAAATTCAGTAAGAGTAGTAATATCTATTTTATTAGATTGAATATCTTTATTATTTATAATATTTGTTTTATTAATTTCTTCAGTTGTAATTTATTATAGAAAAAGATATATAAGATCAGAATTAAATTTAAATCGTTTTATTATTTTAGTTTTATTATTTGTATTTTCTATAATTTTATTAATTATTAGTCCTAATATTGTAAGTATTTTATTAGGTTGAGATGGGTTAGGATTAGTTTCTTATTGTTTAGTTATTTATTATCAAAATTTTAAATCTTATAATGCTGGAATATTAACTGCTTTATCTAATCGGGTTGGGGATGTATTTATTTTAATGGTAATTTCTTGAATGTTAAATTATGGAAGATGAAATTATATTTTTTATTTAATATTTATAAAAAATGATTATGAAATATATATAATTAGAAGATTAATTATTATTGCTGCTATAACTAAAAGAGCTCAGATTCCTTTTAGTTCTTGGTTACCTGCTGCTATGGCAGCTCCTACTCCTGTATCTGCTTTAGTACATTCTTCAACTTTAGTAACTGCTGGAGTATATTTATTAATTCGTTTTAATTTATTATTGATTGATATATTATTTTTAAAAATTTTATTATTATTATCTGGTTTAACAATATTTATAGCAGGTATTTCAGCTAATTATGAGTTTGATTTAAAAAAAATTATTGCTTTATCTACTTTAAGACAATTAGGATTAATAATAAGAATTTTAAGTATAGGAATACCAGATTTAGCTTTTTTTCATTTATTAACTCATGCTATATTTAAGGCTTTATTATTTATATGTGCTGGAGTTATTATTCATATAATAAATGATACTCAAGATATTCGATTAATAGGAGGAATTAGAAATTATATTCCTATAACTTCTTTATGTATAAATATTTCTAATTTGGCATTATGTGGTATTCCCTTTTTAGCGGGATTTTATTCTAAGGATTTAATTTTAGAAATAGTAAGTTTAAGAAATTTAAATTTATTAATTTATTATATTTATTATTTATCTACAGGATTAACTATATTTTATACTATTCGATTAATTATATATTTAATAGTAAATGATTATAATTTAATAAGAATTTATAATTTATATGATGAAGATTATACTATATTAAAAAGAATAATAGTTTTACTTTTTATAAGAGTTATTAGTGGTTCTATATTAAGTTGAATAATTTTTTTAAATCCATATATAATTTATTTACCTTTAAATATAAAAATAATAGTTGTATACGTTAGATTATTAGGAGGGTTTATTGGTTATTTTGTTAGAAATATAATAATTTATTCAATAAATAAATTTTTAATAACTTATAATATTAGAAGATTTTTATGTTTAATATGATTTATACCTAGATTATCTACTTATGGTTTAAATTATTATTTTTTAAAGTTAGGACAAAATTTATTAAAATATATTGATTTAGGATGAAGTGAATTATATAGAGGACAAGGTATATATTATATTTTAAAAAATTATTCAATTTTTTATAATTTTTATCAAGTAAATAATTTTAAAATTTATTTATTTAGATTTGTTATATGAATAATAATTTTATATTATTTTATATTAATAAAATTTTAAATAGCTTATATAATTAAGAGCATAATATTGAAGATATTAAGGAGATTGATTTAATCTTTAGATAATTAATTAAATAAATATATATATTTTATATATTTATATAGATAATTTATTTATAAAAATAATAAAATTTTATTTTTACAATGAAAATGTAATGTTTTTATTAAACTATATAAATAAGAAATATTAATGGAATTAAACCACTAAAAATTAAGTTAGCAGCTTAATTTTAAACTTTATATTTCTTAAAAATAAGAAATAAAATTTAATTGGAATTAGTTATTCAATAGTATCATTAACAGTGATATACCTCTATTTTGGTTTCAATTAATAAATAAGGAGAAAATACTCTATCTTTTAAGTCGAAATTAAATGCAAAAATTGCTTCTTATTTATTATAAGATAAATTGAGAGTTCAATATTTTTTGAATGCAAATCAAATGTTTTGAATTTAAACTATAATCCTAAAGGAAAAAATTAATTTGTTCAATTTAATATATTTTGATTTCATTCATAATATAATCCAATTAAAAGGACAATAATAAAAAAGAAACTAATTTTTGATCAAATAATAAAATTGACTAAATTGAATAGAGGAATAATAGGAAAAATTAAGGCAATTTCTACATCAAAAATTAAAAAAATAACAGTAATAAGATAAAAGTGGAGGGAAAATGGTATTCGAGCTGAGGATTTGGGGTCAAATCCACATTCAAAAGGTGAGGATTTTTCTCGATCTGAAAATGTTTTTTTTGATAGGATAATAGAAATAATTATTATAATATTTGAAATAATAAGAATAATAGTAGAAATAAGTAAAATTAAAATAATTATTTATATTAAAAAAATTAAACTTTTTGATTGGAAGTCAAATATACTAAATATATTATATAAATAAGTTAATTTCCTCATCAATAAATAGAAATGTATAAGAAAAGTCAAACTACATCAACAAAATGTCAATATCAAGCTGCAGCTTCAAATCCAAAATGATGTTTATTAGAAAAATGATTTAAAGAATGACGAATTAAACATACAGTTAAAAAAATAGTTCCAATAATTACATGAAGTCCATGAAATCCAGTTGCTATAAAAAAAGTAGAACCATAAATACTATCAGCAATTGTGAAAGAAGCTTCAATATATTCATAAGCTTGAAGAATAGTAAAGTAAATTCCTAAGGTAATTGTAATAAATAAACCTTGGAAAGTTTGAGAAAAGTTATTTTCTATTAAAGCATGATGAGCTCAAGTAATTGTAACTCCTGAGGAAATTAAAATAATTGTATTTAATAAAGGAATTTGAAATGGATTAAATGGGGTAATACCTGCAGGAGGTCAAATTGCTCCAATTTCAATATTGGGGGATAATCTTCTATGAAAAAAAGCTCAAAAAAAAGATACAAAGAAAAAAATTTCTGAAATAATAAATAGAATTATACCTCATCGTAATCCTTTTGAAACTAGAATAGTATGTTTACCTTGATAAGTTCCCTCTCGTGTAATATCTCGTCATCATTGATATATAGAGAGGATAACAATAATATAACCTAAAATTAATAAATTAAAATTATAATTATGAAATCATTTAATTATACCTGAAACTAGAGTTATAATTCCAATAGCACTTGTTAAAGGTCAAGGACTATAATCTACTAAATGAAATGGATGATTATGGTTAGTTTTCATTAATTAACTTCACTAGAATAAAGAGTTCTTAAAATTGCAATGACATAAGATTGAATTACTGCAACTGCTGATTCTAAAGTTAAAAGTAAAATTTGAATAATAACTAAAATAATTACTAAAGAAGGGGGAAATTTAGATCCTGTGCCACTAAGTAAAGTCATTAAAAGATGTCCTGCAATTATATTAGCTGTTAAACGAACAGCTAAAGTTCCTGGACGAATGATATTTCTAATTGTTTCAATTAATACTATAAAAGGTATTAAAATAGTAGGAGTACCTTGAGGAATTATATGAATAAATATATGTTGAGTATTATTAATTCATCCATATAATATGAATCTTAATCATAATGGTAAAGATAGGGAAAGAGAAAGAGTAAGATGTCTAGTTCTTGTAAAAATATATGGAAATAAACCTAAAAAATTATTAAATAAAACAAAAGAAAATATTGAAATAAAAATTAATGTAAAATTATTAAATAAAGGATTATTTCCTAGTAAGGTTTTAAATTCATTATGTAATTTATTAAAAATTAAGTTTCAAAAAATATGATATCGATTAGGAATTAATCAAAATGAATAAGGAATAAATAAAAGACCAATTAAGGTTCTTAATCAATTTAAAGATAAATTAAAAATATTAGTTGAAGGATCAAAAATTGAAAATAAATTACTTATCATTTTCAGTTTAAATTTATATAATTTATTTTTTTTTTATTATTTTGTTTTATTATTATTTTAATATTATAAATATAATAATTTATAATATTAAAAATAATAAAAAAAATAATAAAAAAAATAAATGAAATTAGTCAATTAATAGGTATTATTTGTGGAATAAAAGAATATTACTTAGGTAATAATTTAAATTTGACATATTTATGTTATAATTTTAACTAATTCTTTCATTAGAAGTAATTGCTAATTTACTATAAAGTGGTTTAAGAGACCAATACTTGCTTTCAGTCATCTAATGAAGAATAATTATTAATTCAATTAATAAAATTTTTAATTGAAATTCTTTCAATAACAATAGGTATAAAACTATGATTTGCTCCACAAATTTCTGAACATTGACCATAAAAAATTCCTGGACGATTGATAAAGAAATTAGTTTGATTTAAACGACCTGGATTTGCATCAACTTTAACCCCTAAAGATGGGATAGTTCAAGAGTGAATTACATCTGTAGCAGTAACTAAAATTCGAATTTGGTTATTTATGGGTAAAATAATACGATTATCTACATCTAAAAGACGAAAATTATTTAAAGGAAGTTCATTACTTGCAATTATATAAGAGTCAAATTCAATATTATTAAAGTCTGAATATTCATAACTTCAATATCATTGATGTCCAATAGTTTTTAAGGTAATAAGAGGATTATTTAATTCATCTAATAAATATAATAAACGAAGAGAGGGTAATGCAATAAAAATTAGAGTAATTGCTGGTAGAACAGTTCAAATTAATTCAATTATTTGACCTTCAAGTAAAAATCGATTAATAAATTTATTAAAAAATAAGTTAATTATAATATATCCTACTAAAATAGTAATTATAATTAAAATAATTAAAGTATGATCATGAAAAAAAATAATTTGTTCTATAAGAGGAGAGGCACTATTTTGTAAATTAAAATTAGATCAAGTTGCAATTTCTAAAAAAAGGATAATCCTTTATAAATGGGGTTTAAATCCATTACATATAATCTGCCATATTAGAAATTTCTTAAAATAGGAAGTTCATTATATGAATGTTCAGCTGGGGGAAGATTTTGATATCATTCAATTGAAGAAGATAAATTAAGGGGAAATAATACTGTTCGTTGATTAATTATAGATTCTCAAATAGTAATAATTAAAAATAATATGGCTAATAATGAAATATAAGATCCTAGGGTGGAAATAATATTTCAAGAAGTATAAGCATCAGGATAATCAGAATATCGTCGAGGCATACCTGCAAGTCCTAAAAAATGTTGGGGAAAAAAGGTTAAATTTACTCCAATAAATATTGTGAAAAATTGAATTTTTAATATAAAAGGATTTATTGAAAGACCTGTAAATAAAGGATATCAATGAATGAATCCTGCTATAATGGCAAATACAGCTCCTATAGATAAGACATAATGAAAATGAGCAACAACATAATAAGTATCATGAAGTCTAACATCAATAGAAGAATTGGCTAAAATTACTCCAGTTAATCCTCCTACAGTAAATAAGAATACAAAACCTAATCTTCAAAGTATAGAAGGACTATAATTAATTTGAGTACCATGGAGAGTTGCTAATCAACTAAAAATTTTAATGCCTGTAGGAACTGCAATAATTATAGTGGCTGAAGTGAAATAAGCTCGTGTATCAATATCTATTCCAACTGTAAATATGTGATGAGCTCAAACAACAAATCCTAATAGTCCAATTGCTAGTATAGCATAAATTATACCTAAACAGCCAAAAGTTTCTTTTTTACCTCTTTCTTGAGAAATAATATGGGAAATTATACCAAATCCAGGTAAAATTAGAATATAAACTTCTGGATGACCAAAAAATCAAAATAAGTGTTGATAAAGAATTGGATCTCCTCCTCCTGCAGGGTCAAAAAATGATGTGTTTAAATTACGATCAGTTAAAAGTATAGTAATAGCTCCAGCTAGAACAGGCAATGAAAGAAGTAATAATAGTGCTGTAATTCTTACAGATCAAATAAATAATGGTATTTGATCAAATGATAAACCATTTAATTTTATATTAATAACTGTTGTAATGAAATTTACAGCTCCTAAAATAGAAGAAATTCCAGCTAAATGGAGAGAAAAAATAGCTAAATCTACAGATCTACCTCTATGGGCAATATTAGAAGATAAAGGTGGATAAACTGTTCATCCTGTTCCTGCTCCATTTTCAACAATTCTTCTAAAAATTAATAAAGTAAGAGAAGGAGGTAATAATCAAAAACTTATATTATTAAGTCGGGGGAAAGCTATGTCAGGGGCTCCTAATATTAGGGGAACTAATCAATTTCCAAATCCACCAATTATAATAGGTATTACTATAAAAAAAATTATAATAAAGGCATGACCTGTAACAATAGTATTATAAATTTGATCATCTCCAATAAGAGAACCAGGATTACCAAGTTCAGCTCGAATTAATAATCTTAGGGAAGTTCCAACTATTCCTGATCAAATTCCAAAAATAAAATATAAAGTACCAATATCTTTATGATTTGTTGAAAAAAGTCATTTTCGCAAAAAAAAAATAAAATGGCTGAGTTTATAAGCGATAAATTGTAAATTTATTAACGAGAAATTTCTCTTTTATTATAAGTTTTATAGTCAAAGAATGATATGAAATTGCAAATTTCATGGTATAAAGAAAATTTATTAAGGCTTAAAGAAATTTTCTTTATGAATAATTTTGAAGATTATTAGTTTTTATTAACCTAAAACCTTATAAAAAAATTAAAGTTCTTAAAATTATTCCTGTAATTGATAAAAAAGATAAAAAATTAATAAAAATTAAATTTTTATTTTTTAAAAAAATTTTTATTCATTTTAAATTAATATAATTAAATAAAAAGGATGAATAAATAATTCGAATATAAAAAAATAAAATAATTAATCTTGTTATAATAAAAATAAATGTAATAATAAAAAAATCTATTGATAATAAAAAATTAATTAAGATTCATTTTGGAAAAAATCCAATAAAGGGGGGTAATCCTCCTAATGATAAAAAATTAATTAATAGGAATATTTTAATTGAGTAATTAATATTAGAGATAAAAAGTTGATTAATAAAGAATATATTTAATAATTGAAAAAAAAAACATATGATTCTGATTAAAAATGAATATATAATTAAATAAAATATTCAAAGATTTTCTCTAATTAAAATTGAAGCTAATATTCATCCTAAATTATTAATTGAAGAAAAAGTTATAAGTTTACGTAAAGAAGATTGATTAAGACCTCCAATAGCTCCAATAATAGTATTTAAAGTTATAATAATAATAATAAAATTTTTATTTAAATAATAAGACAATAAAATTATGGGGGTAATTTTTTGTCATGTTATTAATAAGAAATTATTAAATCAAGATAAACCTTCAGAAATATTAGGGAATCAAAAATGAAAAGGTACTGAACCTATTTTTATTAATAGGGAAGAATTAATTATAATTGAAATAAAATTATTTATTTCAAAATTTTTTATTAAAGTTATTTTTATTAAAATTGAAAAAATAAAATTAATGGAAGCAATAGATTGAGTAAGAAAGTATTTTAAAGAAGCTTCAGTAGAAAATAAATTAGTAGAGTGGGAGATTAGGGGGATAAAACTTAAAAGATTAATTTCTAGACCAATTCAACATCCAAATCAAGAATTAGAAGAAATAGAGATTAATGTTCTGAAAAATAGAATAAATAAAAAAAATATTTTATTGGAATTAATTTGAAAGAAAATATTAAATAAATTTAATTAAATTTAATTAAAATTTAAAAAATAATAAAATATATTTTAGTGTAAGAAGCACAATAGTTTTTGATACTATTAGATATAGTTTAATTCTATAAAATATAATAAAGGTAAAAAAATTACTTAATTTATCCTATCAGAATAATCCTTTAATCAGGCACTTTATTATTTAAAAAAAAGGATTAACTTTATATTTGAGGTATGAACCCAAAAGCTTAAATTTAGCTTATTTTTAA